GATAGATAGATAGATAGAAGGATAGATAGATAGACAGATTCAAGTTCTTGAAAAGTGCAAATATCAGAGTGAAGAAAGTAAAATTACAAACACGTGTGATGATTTTAAGGTTTTACTTAATTTATAAATGTCTGATATAAAACTCATGTTCCTGACGTTCACATGTTGCTGCGACCTTTGACCTCTGAAGTCTGATCACTTTGAGAGTGAATAGTTTGTTGAGTTGTCACGAGACGGACCGACAGTCCTGACTGCCTCCAGCCACCAGGTGTCGCCAGCGCAGGAGAAGAAAAAATAATTACAAAATCCAATTTCTTTTCTTTTCTCTTCGTTTCTTCCGCTTGTTTCTGTAACGAGCTTCAGATTCAATCAGGGTCGTTCATGAAGGAATGCTTTGCGTCAAAGAACCAATCGTCAGCTGTCACGGTGACGACTTCCTGTTCGGTGATTGGTGGAAAACGATTGGCTTCAGAAAAACACGCTGTCAGACTTCCGCCACCATCTTCTTGTGAATGTCCAGCCCCCCGACGACCTGGAGGAGACAGCACAGGTCACACGGTGCAACTTCTGGATTAATGACGTTCACAAGAGCATGAGACCACTGTGACCTTTGACCTCAAAGTTCTCAACGTTCATCTTTGAGTTCAACACGACATCACAGTCAAAGAAATTCCTTCACAGCGTTGCTCAGACAACCTGAAAACATAATTCCTTCAGCCACTGGGTGACGCCAGGAAATAAATCAAATACATGTTAATATATCTAGATAACAGGATTGATGTGGACTTTGGTTACCATAGTAACAGAAGCCGTCACTACTCACCGCACGGAACTCCTCAAAGGATATTCTGCCGTCTGCGTCTTTGTCGGCGTTGACGATGGTTTTGTCGACGATCTGCTGGAGCTGCGTGTCCTTCAGGTTGTTTCCCACCATCATCTTGAGGACCTGGAAGAGCTCTCCGTTGGAAATGTAGCCGTCTTTGTCCATGTCGTAGATCCTGAAAGCAACTGAGGGTCAAAAACACAACACGGAGGAACGACGTCAGTCAAGCAGTTTTCACTAGCAGCGTGTTTTAGCACGATAACCCTGACACGCCCCCCAAAAAGCCAGGTCGACATTTTTAGAAGCTCCTCCCACGGTTACATCACTGTTATATCCTGTAAAACATCTGCTGTCATGGCAGCATTAGCCAGAGCTAGTTAGCATGTCATCAATTGGAAAGCATCTTGGAGCTTTTTAAAAGAAGCAGTCGTTTGTTTTTCATTCCGATGAACCAGGACAACCACGACATGAAGCATCATTTACATGACACATGTATGACGGACACTTACAACGTAGCTTCTGCTCCTTATCACCTCTGACGCTGAACTGTGAGACTCCTTCAATGAACTCTGGAGATAAAAACACACATCATTAACTCAACTGAAATAAAACTGCTCAACATAAAGAAAAAGAAAATAATCCCAGTAACGGACTTCAGATGCTTTGGTACCTTGGAAGTCGACTTCGCCGTCTCCATCGGTATCGAATATGTCGATGACTCTGTGAACCAGCGGATTCTGCCGGAGCTCAGGCAGAGACATGAACTCCTCCACACTCAGAGACCCCGAGTTATCCAGGTCCAGTTTCTTAAACCTCTTTCCCAACCTCCTCATCTCCTCGGCTTCAAGTGACGAGACACAAACACCACGAGGAAACAAAGAGCGACGGCAACGATTCACTCAGTTTAATACTTAGACTGAAAGTGTGTGTGTGTCTGTGTGTCTGTGTGTGTGTGTGTGTGTGTGTGTGTGTAAACATGGGGAAAACACAAATTCACACAGAAGAATTCTGCACTGTTGGAAATATAAATATATAAAGTGTAAATATTATACATATTAGTACAAATAACTTCAACTAAAATAGAGAAATGTGGATTTGCAGTTAAATATAAACACAAGCAAGAGTTTTATAAACATCATCGTTTTTTTCACTCTCTCTCTCTCTCCCACACACACACACTCTCTCTCTC